CGCCAAAGCACAAGAAGAAGAAAGCCAGACAACAACGCGTCAGGGTGGATTAATGCGAAGTAAACACAATCAATCGTGAAGGGTTTAAAAGGTTTGCAGGCTGCGCCCCCCCAGCCCCCCCACTTTTTTTTAGACTAAACTCCCCGCTCACTGGCACGAAGAGATGCACAAAAACGTATTCGCCAACACAGAAGAATGAGAAAGCCAGACAACAAAGCGTCAGGATGGATTAATGCGAAGAAAACACAATCAGTCGTGAAGGGTTGAAAGGGTTTGTAAATACAACAAAGCGTCAGGGTGGTTTAATGCGAAGTAAACACAATCAATCGTGAAGGGTTCAAAAGGTTTGCAAATGGGGGGGGCTGCGCCCCCCCCAACCCCCCCGCTTCTTTTAGACTAAACTCCCCGCTCACTAAAGGCACGAAGAGATGCACAAAAACGTATTCGCCAAAACACAAGAAGGAGAAGTCCAGACAACAACGCGTCAGGGTGGTTTGATGCGAAGAAAACACAATCAATCGTGAAGGATTTAAAAGGTTTGCAACTGGGGGGGTGGCTGCGCCCCCCCAACCCCCCCGCTTTGTTTAGGCTAAACTCCCCGCTCACTAAAAAGCCGCGAAGAGATGCACAAAAACGTATTCGCCAAAGCACAAGAAGAAGAAAGCCAGACAAGAACGCGTCAGGGTGGTTTAATGCGAAGTAAACACAATCAATCGTGAAGGGTTTAAAAGGTTTGCAGGCTGCGCTCCCACAAGCCCCCCCACTTTTTTTTGGGTAAACTCCCCGCTCACTGGCACGAAGAGATGCACAAAAACGTATTCGCCAACACAGAAGAAGGAGAAAGCCAGACAACAACGCGTCAGGGTGGTTTAATGCGAAGAAAACACAATCAGTCGTGAAGGGTTGAAAGGGTTTGTAAATACAACAAAGCGTCAGGGTGGCTTAATGCGAAGTAAACACAATCAATCGTGAAGGGTTTAAAAGGTTTGCAAATGGGGGGGGCCAACCCCCCCGCTTTTTTTAGGCTAAACTTCCCGCTCACTAAAAAGCCGCGAAGAGATGCACAAAAACGTATTCGCCAAAGCACAAGAAGAAGAAAGCCAGACAACAACGCGTCAGGGTGGTTTAATGCGAAGTATAAACACAATCAATCGTGAAGGGTTTAAAAGGTTTGCAGGCTGCGCCCCCCCCAACCCCCCCGCTTTTTTTAGACTAAACTCCCCGCTCACTAGCACGAAGAGATGCACAAAAACGTATTCGCCAACACAGTAGAATGAGAAAGCCAGACAACAACGCGTCAGGGTGGATTAATGCGAAGAAAACACAATCAGTCGTGAAGGGTTGAAAGGGTTTGTAAATACAACAAAGCGTCAGGGTGGTTTAATGCGAAGTAAACACAATCAATCGTGAAGGGTTCAAAAGGTTTGCAAATGGGGGGGGCTGCGCCCCCCCCAACCCCCCCGCTTCTTTTAGACTAAACTCCCCGCTCACTAAAGGCACGAAGAGATGCACAAAAACGTATTCGCCAAAACACAAGAAGGAGAAGTCCAGACAACAACGCGTCAGGGTGGTTTGATGCGAAGAAAACACAATCAATCGTGAAGGATTTAAAAGGTTTGCAACTGGGGGGGTGGCTGCGCCCCCCCCAACCCCCCCGCTTTGTTTAGGCTAAACTCCCCGCTCACTAAAAAGCCGCGAAGAAATGCACAAAAACGTATTCGCCAAAACACAAGAAGAAGAAAGCCAGACAAGAACGCGCCAGGGTGGTTTAATGCGAAGTAAACACAATCAATCGTGAAGGGTTTAAAAGGTTTGCAGGCTGCGCCCCCCCAAGCCCCCCCGCTTTTTTTTGGCTAAACTCCCCGCTCACTGGCACGAAGAGATGCACAAAAACGTATTCGCCAACACAGAAGAAGGAGAAAGCCAGACAACAACGCGTCAGGGTGGTTTAATGCGAAGAAAACACAGTCAGTCGTGAAGGGTTTAAAGGGTTTGTAAATACAACAAACGTCAGGGTGGTTTAATGCGAAGTAAACACAATCAATCGTGAAGGGTTTAAAAGGTTTGCAGGCTGCGCCCCCCCAGCCCCCCCACTTTTTTTTAGACTAAACTCCCCGCTCACTGGCACGAAGAGATGCACAAAAACGTATTCGCCAACACAGAAGAATGAGAAAGCCAGACAACAACGCGTCAGGGTGGATTAATGCGAAGAAAACACAATCAGTCGTGAAGGGTTGAAAGGGTTTGTAAATACAACAAAGCGTCAGGGTGGTTTAATGCGAAGTAAACACAATCAATCGTGAAGGGTTTAAAAGGTTTGCAAATGGGGGGGGCTGCGCCCCCCCCAACCCCCCCGCTTTTTTTAGACTAAACTCCCCGCTCACTAAAGGCACGAAGAGATGCACAAAAACGTATTCGCCAAAACACAAGAAGAAGAAGAAGTCCAGACAACAACGCGTCAGGGTGGTTTGATGCGAGGAAAACACAATCAATCGTGAAGGATTTAAAAGGTTTGCAACTGGGGGGGTGGCTGCGCCCCCCCAACCCCCCCGCTTTGTTTAGGCTAAACTCCCCGCTCACTAAAAAGCCGCGAAGAGATGCACAAAAACGTATTCGCCAAAGCACAAGAAGAAGAAAGCCAGACAACAACGCGTCAGGGTGGTTTAATGCGAAGTAAACACAATCAATCGTGAAGGGTTTAAAAGGTTTGCAGGCTGCGCCCCCCCAAGCCCCCCCGCTTTTTTTTTGGCTAAACTCCCCGCTCACTGGCACGAAGAGATGCACAAAAACGTATTCGCCAACACAGAAGAAGGAGAAAGCCAGACAACAACGCGTCAGGGTGGTTTAATGCGAAGAAAACACAGTCAGTCGTGAAGGGTTTAAAGGGTTTGTAAATACAACAAAGCGTCAGGGTGGCTTAATGCGAAGTAAACACAATCAATCGTGAAGGGTTTAAAAGGTTTGCAAATGGGGGGGGCCAACCCCCCCGCTTTTTTTAGGCTAAACTTCCCGCTCACTAAAAAGCCGCGAAGAGATGCACAAAAACGTATTCGCCAAAGCACAAGAAGAAGAAAGCCAGACAACAACGCGCCAGGGTGGTTTAATGCGAAGTATAAACACAATCAATCGTGAAGGGTTTAAAAGGTTTGCAGGCTGCGCCCCCCCCAACCCCCCCGCTTTTTTTAGACTAAACTCCCCGCTCACTAGCACGAAGAGATGCACAAAAACGTATTCGCCAACACAGTAGAAGGAGAAAGCCAGACAACAACGCGTCAGGGTGGATTAATGCGAAGAAAACACAATCAGTCGTGAAGGGTTGAAAGGGTTTGTAAATACAACAAAGCGTCACGGTGGTTTAATGCGAAGTAAACACAATCAATCGTGAAGGGTTTAAAAGGTTTGCAAATGGGGGGGGGCTGCCCCCCCCCCAACCCCCCCGCTTTTTTTAGACAAAACTCCCCGCTCACTAAAGGCACGAAGAGATGCACAAAAACGTATTCGCCAAAACACAAGAAGAAGAAGTCCAGACAACAACGCGTCAGGGTGGTTTGATGCGAGGAAAACACAATCAATCGTGAAGGATTTAAAAGGTTTGCAACTGGGGGGGTGGCTGCGCCCCCCCCCAACCCCCCGGCTTTGTTTAGGCTAAACTCCCCGCTCACTAAAAAGCCGCGAAGAAATGCACAAAAACGTATTCGCCAAAACACAAGAAGAAGAAAGCCAGACAAGAACGCGTCAGGGTGGTTTAATGCGAAGTAAACACAATCAATCGTGAAGGGTTTAAATGGTTTGCAGGCTGCCCCCCCCCAAGCCCCCCCGCTTTTTTTTTGTTTTGCTAAACTCCCCGCTCACTGGCACGAAGAGATGCACAAAAACGTATTCGCCAACACAGAAGAAGGAGAAAGCCAGACAACAACGCGTCATTGTGGTTTAATCCGAAGAAAACACAGTCAGTCGTGAAGGGTTTAAAGGCTTTGTAAATACAACAAACCGTCAGGGTGGTTTAATGCGAAGTAAACACAATCAATCGTGAAGGGTTTAAAAGGTTTGCAAATGGGGGGGGCTGCGCCCCCCCCCAACCCCCCCGCTTTTTTAGACTAAACTCCCCGCTCACTAAAGGCACGAAAGATGCACAAAAACGTATTCGCCAAAACACAAGAAGGAGAAGTCCAGACAACAACGCGTCAGGGTGGTTTGATGCGAAGAAAACACAATCAATCGTGAAGGGGTTTTAAAAGGTTTGCAAAGGGGGGAGGTCCCCGATGAACCCTCCACAGGGATACTGCGTGTCGAAGCGCCGGCGCTGTGGCGCGGTGCAAATTTTCAACGTCCCCGATGAAGCTTCCACAAGGATCCTGCGTGTCGAGCGCTGTGGTGCGGTGCAAATTTTCTACGTCCCCGATGAACCCTCCACAGGGATCCTGCGTGTCGAAGCGCTGGCGCTGTGGCGCGGCGCAAATTTTGTATGTCCCCGATGTACCCTTCACAGGGATCCTGCGTGTCGAAGCGCTGGCGCTGTGGTGCGGTGCAAATTTTCTACGTCCCCGATGAACCCTCCACAGGGATCCTGCGTGTCGAAGCGCTGGCGCTGTGGCGCCGTGCAAATTTTCTATGTCCCCGATGAACCCTTCACAGGGATCCAGCCAAGCAAACCACCAAAAAACAAAATTCCCGCCCCCCCCCAAAAAAAAAAAATTCCCAAACTAATTCCAGACCCGTTCATAGATACATTGCACGAAAGCAGATTGACGGACAGATGGACCGACAGACAGACGGATGGACAGACGGACGGACGGACAGACAGACGGACATGCAGACATGCATATGCACACATGCAATCGCGAGCCCCCTCTTCTTCGCGTAGAGTTAAAGCCGTAAATGAGGTCATGCCACACGTGCATATATAAGATATGTGAACAAAGAACAAGGCGGACTACGCTGGTGCAATTCTATGCACGTGTGCTGCACAGTACAGCATTGCGTGTCATGGCCAGCTCTAGGCGAGAGCGCATCCGGCAGCTGAGGGAGGCTGTCCGGATGAAATGCCCAGCTTCGCAGTTGCTTCTTTCCCTGACTTGAAGATGTGGCTCTATCCCTTCGAGAGAGGGGTGCTCACGTTTCGCTTGACCTGGGGCCTCAAGTCTGGAAGTGTTCAGAGATCTGCCTTGCAGGCCAGCGCCCAGCACTCGGAAGCGAGAGAAGCTGCTGGAAGCGAGTGAGCAAAAAGGGGTCCCGCGCTTGCCTGTATGTTCCCCCCTGGCCTGGTCTCCTCTTCGTCGATCCGGATATATGGTCGTGCCGTCTGCACTCTCGCTCTGTACTGTAATTGACAGTCCACTGTGCTCTCCTTGCAGGATCTGAAATCCGCCATAGCTGGTGCGAAGGACTACCCGAACTGCTTGTTCTGAGGCACACAGGTTTAGGGTCAGTTGCTACGGTAGTCGGGAAATCTCTGAGACAACCTGCGTCGTGCGATGAGGAGCTCCAGTTCCTACAGCCCTTAACTGGCCGGGTTCCTGATGAGTGCTTGCTCTCTCGCCAGCCTGCAGCTTCAACTATCTGAGTTTGTTCAGTCCGGAGCCAGCTCCAACTTTCTCTCAGTGGAATCGGACAGTATGCTAAAATCATACGTCGGCGAAGCTGGGACGGGATTCTTGCACCGCTTTGTCTTGTGTCATGTTTTTGCGGCGTCTGGCGATCTCCCCTACTCCAGGCACCTTTGATCCTTCAACCTTCACACGGACTACTAGCGAAGCACAGGCAGCTGGTCAAGTGTCGTCGAGACACATGGTGGTCTTGATTCTGCGGTTGCCGCTGTGATGCAGGATCGAGTTGCGAGGCAGAAGTCTGACTCATGTTCCGTTGTACCCATGTTAACCCAGCTACACACATCCAACATAAAAAAAAATACGCAAACAGATGGATTTCGTACAGACATGTACCTATGTCCATGTCAATACCTGCGTCTGGGTAGTGTCCATGCCTGCACCTGTGGCTATGTCTATGTCAGTCTGTGTCTCTGTCAATGTCTATGTATTTACATATGTGTATATACATATAAATATATATATATATATGTATGTGTGTGCGTGTGTACACATACATGCATAATATGTGGTGTCGCATTTGCCGGGATAGAGTCGCAGGTTGCACCAAACAACCGCAAGTATGATGAGCGCAGGCCGCCACCAGAAGCGAAGGCAGCGCGCTCTTCGCGGCGGAAGGCTTGAGATTGGAGTTCCAGGGCTGGGCCACTAAATACATAAAGTCATAAAACATAAGCATAATATATATATATATATATATATATATATATATATATTTATTTATACACACACATACATACATCTCCCTCTCTCTCTCTCTCGCTATATATATATATATATGTATGTATACATATGTGTGTATATATATATATATATATATATATACATGTATAATTATGTACATACGTATATACACATATAAAGGCTCTATTCAGTTTCTCTCCGGCCTGCCCAGGCCACCCTGCACAGGGAGAAGAGGGGCGCGCAGACGCAGAGGCAGCCCGGGCCCGGGCGGAGCTTGGTTTGCGTGGCTCTTGGTAGCAGTCCATTCCGACGATGAGTGGATTAGGGTGTAGGGCTTTAGGGGTTCAGGGTTTAGGGGTTTGGGGTTTGGGGGTTTAGGGGTTAAGGGTTTAGGGGTTTAGGGTTTAGGGGTTTAGGGTTTGGGGGTTTAGGGGTTTAGGATTTAGGGCTTAGGGCTTCAGGGGTTTAGTTAGGGTTTACGGGTTTCGTTAGGGTTTGGGGGTTTAGGGTTTGGGGTGTTGAAGCAAGTCCCTGTGAGAGTCCTTTCTGCAAGGAGTCAGAGTCGCTCCAAGAGAAGACGCCCGAAGTCAAAGCGAAGGCAGGGTCTCGCATGCGCCACCCCTAGCCCACTCCCCTGTAAAGCAGTGAAGAAGCCCTTGAGCCTCTTGAGCCCCTCAGCCCCAAACCCTGAACCTCCCTAAACCCTAAACCCTGTACCCCTCAACCCTAAATCGCATTGTGAGAGTCCACGATCCCATAGAATGAGAGGCTGGCGACGGCGATTCCAAGAAGCGCAAGGCAGGGCGACTCGGAGCCCTGAGACTTCCAGCAGAGCTCTGGGAAAAGGAGAGGGCTTCAGTCTACTTAGAGGATCAGCGGACTTAGTAAGTAGGGTATAATTGGGGTTATAAGTCCCCTAACTGGGGTTATCCGCTTCGCTTGCCTTTGGTTAGTAGGGAGTGGAAGAATGGTAGTAATAGTAGTTATGGTTGTACCCCATTCCTCCATTCCCTACTTTCCAACGGCAAGTTCAGCCTACGAAACCTCTGCAAGAAAGCCCCGTTCAGATGGCGACCTCGGGGGAGAAGACCAGCAAGGCTCCGCTTCATCTGGCAGAGCCTGATACGTTTTTTTGTGCGAGAACTGGACTGCCGCACAGCAACAGCCATCAAGTGTGTCCGCCCAAGAAAGACAGCATGACTTGAGGCGGTCCGGCGCGCTGCAGACAAGAAATCTGCTTGGGGCTTGGTCCGGGGTGGTTTGCCGAGAGGTCCAGTTTGTCCCCATCTGGGGTGCCTCGTCGTTGAACGCCTCAGAGTCGCCAAATGACTGTAGGACAGTGATACCGCAAGTGTCCGCCAGACCACACTTCCAGTTGTGCAGCTCGAGGTTCAATTTGTTCTCCGACCTACGAACCCCATGAGAAGCCCTTAAACCCCTCAAGGGGTCCTGCTATCAGCAGCAGATAATATCATATTATATGAATATGTGTATACTATCTTCGATATTGTATTTGTACATACACACACACACATATTACTAGTGCAACTATGTAGAACATGGTGTTTGTGTCATTCGGCGGCGTCTCGGACCCCTGGCACCATGCCCTTGCACATCCCAAGGTCCCGGCAGCACAGCCAGGGCAAGGTCTCAAGAGTTTCTTCAGGCCTTTGGAAGTTAGTAGCTGTAGTAGTCGAGTAGGCAATCTTTAAGCCGTTGAGGCTTATGGAATAATCCTACCTTTTTTGAGAAAGTTAACCTTTTCTGGGCCAGGGTGCTCGGCCCCTATGGGATTCGTCCTCCTTCTACGACTATAGTGTTAATCTTTTTCACCATTGCTATTCCTGTTAGTATTATCATCACCATTGGTATTGTTTCCGCTGTTACTACTACTCTTACTCTTACTTATGCTGTGGTATGAACTCCGAGAAAGTCTTTTTTGGGGATCTCTGTGCCTTCGTGCATGTCGGCCGGGTCTCGTGTGAAGCCATGGCTCTCCCACCGTAAAGTCTTGACAGCCATCCCAAAACCCTAAAACTCCCTAAACCCTACACCCTGTGACAGGTGCGTTGAGACTGCAGAAGCTGGCGCATGACAAGGCCCTTCGGAATGGCCGGGGGGGGGGATGTCAGGGCATCGGGAGCTATGGGACTATAGGGCATCTCCTTCGCGCGTAGCTTTCAGAAGCTTGAAGATGCTGGCTGCGATGGGAGCACAGCTGTTGAGGGCCCTGGTTGATCACGAGAACAAGTGCCCTTCTTGTTTCGGGAGTGTCTGGTTGCAGCTTTTAGTCGGGAAGCGCCGCTGGACGGCACCGTCATGCCCATCATACTCAGCCGCAGTGTTCAAGCATGCGATCGTCTTCGCAGCGAGCCGCGCAATGGGTGTCGTGGCTCAGCTGCAGCTTGCATTGCGCGCAGCCTCAAGATAGGTGCACATCGGAAGTTATTGAGAAGCTCCTGGAGCACACTCAGAACATGGATGGAACTCCTGTTGATGCATCGTCTCTACGCTTGCAGTTCCGAACTGCACGAAGCCATTCCGAGATTGTCCGCTTCCCTGCGACCCACTTGACCCTGGGTAGAGCAAAGCCCTGCAAGAGGAGTAGCTAGCATTTTTCTTCGAGACAGCTGTCTGGGGGAATGGATCTCTATAGTAGTCCCGATAGAATCCCCAGTAATAGTCTCCGTACTTCATTCCCCCATTCCCTACTAAGAACCAGAGAGACAAGGTCAAGGCAGCTCCTGCGACCATTGCTCTTCTTGCCTTGAAAGACCCGGACACAGCCCTGAGTTCCTGGTATATGGTATAACTAATGGTTCACGAATATATAGTAGTGTTAGAAGTAATAATAATAATAAGACTAAGAATAAGAAGAAGAAGAATAATAATAATAATAGTTAAAATAACAATAGTAATAGTAATAGTAATAATAATAATAATAGTAATAGTAATAGTAATAATAATAGTAGTTATAATAATAATAGTAATAGTAACAATAATAATAATACTAGTAATACTAATAATAATAATAGTAATAGTAATAGTAATAGTAATAGTAATAGTAATAATAATAATAAAAATAATAATAAAAATAATAATAATAATAATAATAATAATAATAATAATAATAGTAATAATAATAACAGGAATACAAGTAAATGCTGGGGCCCAAATCCGAACGGCTTCGTCGCAACAGCGCGCAAACATGAAAGGTCAAATCGTCAGATAGGCGATGAGTCGAGTCGGAGAATCGCGTTTGACGCCGCCCTCCCAAAATGTGCGAGCTTCGTCATAAAGTAATTGCACCATGAGGATTCGAGACATGGCTGGGGAAGGCCATGACGAGGTGAATTTGGCAGACGAGCCGGAGGAGCCAGCGCGTGAGAAGCTCGTTATCCGCCTCACCGAAGTATGTTAAGTACACGGGTATGCAAAGTGAGCATGAAGGAGAGGGTGGGTTCAGCGACGCCCGGATGCATGAATTTTCGCATCTTGGATGGAATATGGGTCGGTCTTGGCCTTCGTGCTCCAAGCAAAACGCGCGTGTCTAACCTTCAGCTTCAAGTCATTTGCAGTACCGAGGTTCTCGGTGGGCTGCTGCTGCTGCTGCTGCTGCTGCTGTTGCAACGGTGCTGCTTTTCGTGGGGTCGCTGCAAGCGAAGAGCGCTTTCAGTTCTCCCATAGTTACAAGATCCTTGGCTGCAGGTTGTGTCGTTCCCAGAACCAGAGGGTTTTGGCTACCGGTGTCCCGCAATCGTCTGATATCGTCTGATGCAATGTGTTTTTTGAGGTATTGGCACAAAGACTGCCATCAATGAAGCAGAGCTCCCGAATTGGGAAGAGCTACCTGGCATCTCGTTACGGCACACCGTGCAAAAGCCTCCCGAATCGAAATTCCATGCCTTGATTGGACCCAAGTTGAGATTGAGGGATGGGCGATGGCGAACCCTGACATGCGCCATAAAAATCTTTCGTTCATGCCCGCTTTTGAGGTTGCAAGCTGCGCTCCAGTAAAATCTTGCAGTTACAGATCACTTACAGGTAAGAAGGTCCTATGCCCAGAAAGTTGAGTCGACGCGCGAAGGCTACGGCGACGCGTTTTGGCCCCAAAGAATGCTTTGCAGAAGGGGCAAGAAATCCCTCTCAAGCAACCAATGTGTCCATGTGGTCCATATAGTATACCGCACTATACTACACTATGATGTAACATGACATACTATAATAGAAAATGATGGTACGCTACAAAGACATATGATAATGATATAGTGCAACTAGAAGCACTGATCATCGATCCAAGGATTCCTGGCATGGACCAAATTATACGCGACGCACAGAGCCCCTCGGCTGATGGCTTTAGGGCGGCCTGTCGCTGTCAAGACTAATTACCCCGGAACTGCAGCAAGGCTGACATAGCCGAAGTAGGCATCGCTGCCAGCTGCCAGGATTTTGGCTGCGCAGAGCCCGATGCAAGCTGGTTTTCAGGTCTGAACAAGCACGACAACCCCCATGGCCCACGAAGATAATTATTGCTTCTGGCCCTGTCAACTCTGCTAGTATTATTGTTACGAGCATTATTGCTATCATTGTTACTTGTATTCCTGTATTAACTGCGGTTATTATTATTATCCTACAGATGATCATGGTATCAATACCCGCCGTCTCACTGTATTGCCGGGCTTCAGTCCCTGGGCGGAACGTCTGCAAGCATTTTCAGTACCTTCACTCCCACCCCCAGAGCCACAAATCCCTCGCTCCAATCGTCGTGTCAGGTTTACGAATTTCTGATGAACTTTTGGGTTTCGGGTTTAGGGTACCCCTAAACCCGAAACCCTACAAAGCCAAGCCAATGCTTCGCCCTCCCATGCTGCGAGGCATGAGACCTCCTCGAGCGCTGAGGAACCTTGGCGACCTCTTCTATTCATCCCGGCCACAGGACCTGCTTCTGCCTTCTACACTCGTACTCGAGGCTCCGTGTGGAGTTTTCCGAGCGTGATGACGACAATGGTGATGGTGGCGATGATGCGGGTGGTGATAGTCATGACCGTCCGTGGCATCAGTGGCATTATACTGTTACCATCATCGTGAGTAATGTTATCAGCGCGGGGTAGTGGCGAGAGTTCAGATCCGGCAGGGGGAATTGGCCTTGATTGGTGACTTTGGGATCATTGCGATGCAGATTGTTCGGAAATTTGTAGCACCCCAAACTGACTGTCGGCTCGCTGCGCTCTGACTGCAGGAGTTGGGATGGGTGAGGACTGAATGTGTCATCGACACCATTCAGGCAACAGCATACCTGGGTCAAGCCATCGTCTTTCTCTACAAGGCAAGCGCTTCAGTTCAAGTCAGCATGGAGAACACGGCAGTTAATTTACGAGCGAAAAATGCAGCTTAGAAGTTGTTTGACTTCCCACCTGCTTTCGTTCTGCTGTCTGTGACAATGTGCGCCATGAGACGCATGCCGGAAGACCTCCTCAGTTGAGGGCGCTTCGTTTAGCTTAGAGATCCTGTAGACAATGCCATTCTGGCCTGTCTCCCTGTCATCTTCGACTGATCCGTATGAAGGCCATCGACTACCAGAGCATCAAGACTCCATTCAGGTGTTACGATTTCTCCCCCAGTGGCTGCGCTGCCAGTGTGGCTGGCTTCGTGACATCCATCACTTGGATCCTCGGTCGGGGATCTTCGAGTATTTCGGAGCTAGTGCGTCCGTCCAAGAATAAACCAATCTTACAGCTTACAGAAGTTGACACGTCCTTTGTTCGGGAGCTGGTTGCCGACCTGGCTATTTGCGTTGCTGAACCGCGTGGGTAGCACCTCTGGTGTTGTTGGCGTTGTATCCTTGCGAGAGTTCTGCTGGATGCTGTTTCCAGATGACGACAGTCATTGCCATCGCCATCACCACAGGCGCCAACAACATTGACATGTCGGCATCACTATGATCATGGGCCTTGAACAACATCATCAGCATCATCACCACCACCATCACAACCATCACTGACACTGTCATCATGAGCAGCATCATCACCATCATACCCTTCACCAGTTTGTGCAGCTGTCATGATCTCGATTCCGGAAATCATGACATGGATAGTGTTGTCCAGGATGACGGTCATGCGTGCGATGCAGCAACCGGCTTCCAATGCTTAATATAACTTCCGCTTCTCAGGGTCGCCGCCTACCTCTCGTTTGCGGCGAATGCTTGTGCCCAGGCAGATCCGACGGAGAACTGTACTTAAAGGATCATGGGACTTAGTAACTGGGGTTATGATTGGGGTAACTATACTTATAACCCCACTTAAGGTACTTATCACCTTACTTGCTAAGTCCCATGATCCTCCAAGTAACAGGTTGCAAACTTCCATTGCAGGAGGCACCTGAAGCCATTTCTTGGCTGACCGGTTCTTGTCATGGTCTACGACCGGCTGAATTATCAGCCTGTACATGTCGAATTCAAGCCGTTCTACCGTTTCGGGCAATGACATATTCCTGACATGACGTGGACACTTATCTGCTAAGTTTCAACCGATGAGTGACGGAATGAGGGCCGTGCTGCTACAATCTACTACAGCTGACAATCCACTCGACTGTCCGACAGAACCAGACGAAAAACATCCCAAACTGCAGAAGAAGTTTTATGTTGTTTTTGTTTCATAAACGTTGGGGCATGGAATGCCGCTTCTAATCGGAACCAACCGTAAAACATGAGAGGCGGTGAATTCGGATGCCATTTGTGTCGGCGACTTCGTTGCCTTGATGGCCAACTTTGGCGAGATCGCTTCTGCCACGGTGCTGCAGATTTTGGCGGTGATAAGGAAGCACCAGTTGCTCAGTCAGTGCCAAGAGGGAAGTCAGATCATGAAGCTACACTTTTAGAATCTTGACATCTAGGTGCGCATATTGACCCAAAGCAGATTTGAGACCTCCCGTGGTACCACAGGAAGTACCTCAAGTGATCCTTTACGGTACACTTCTCTTCTCTTACCGGCGTCTCACAGAGGCCAGCGCTGCGGTAAAGGATGATTGCAAACCCGGCATCTTGCCTGCATCTGCTACGAAAGCCATCAGTATCTCGCTCATGGCTTCTAGCCTTGCATGTCTTGAGTTCACTCTGCGTTGCCAGCCCTCTATGGAAGTCCAAAAGCCCACGTAGCTACAGCTCAACATCAGCTGGTGCTTTCGAGAGAACAGACTTCGTGCTGCCCTGTCCAATACTGCCTTTCAAAGCTGCGCAAACCCAGGTGAAGATGGCGATGATCTTTGCTAAAATATAATATATTTTTATCAGTAAAAAGAACAATACTGCCGCTGTCTACTGCTGATGATGATGATGACGCGGATAGGGTTTTCCTGCTGCAAACTAGGATCGTGATATCGATGTTCATGGTGCTTGCTTTTTTGCATTGCTTCTGTCGTTATTGCTGCTTTTGCTGGTGTTGCTGGATGCTGATGATGTGATGAGAAGGCTTGTTGTTATCCCAGAAATCTGGAAGGCGACAGTCGAATCTGATGCTTTCTGTCGGCTCAGAGAAGAACTGGAGGCCTGCGCAGCACCCTGGACCTCATTATCAATCGCCCGCGCGTCACTCACGCCTGGGCCCAGTTCATTCCAGCAGCAGCAGCCCCAACTGCCGAGTCCTGCATGCGATTGATGCGGAGTTTAGGGTTTCGCGTTTTTGCGAATCTGGGCTCCAGTGAGACTCTGTTGTGCTAAGGAGCTGATCGTTGCTATCAAGCACAACCGAACGCAGAGCCGCAATCGCGCATTCGACATCACTCAGTGTGCGGCGGGGCTGAACTGCGAATTAATCTACATAAGTTTGCACTTTACACGTCCTGACAGTAAAAGTTGCTTTTTGGCCTGACTCAGGTCATGGACGTGACCAACATGCTCTCGTTCATAGTCCGGGCATTGCTCCAGGCCGACTTTTTGAACGGTGCACGACTTCTCAGTTCTTATTGTTTTTACAAGTAATACTACCGGTTGATGATGCAAATCCTGGATTACTTTAATGACGCTAGACTATGGGAATTATAGTATATTCCTTATTGTGGGTAATGCAGAATTTAGATCATCAACCGAATGTTATCGTTCTTACTATTACTCCTAATACCGTTATCATTCTTATAGCAAGAATGGTAGCCATAAAGTTTGTAACAGCTATATTAATAACCGTAATAATGGTCCTCATTAGCAACTGTAATAAAAGGAATGATAATGCCAGCTGTAAGCAACAACATTATTGTTATTTTACTAGTACACTAGAAATAGTACTGTTATTAGGTATTATTGTTACTAATATCGTTATATCAATGTTTTAGTTCGTTCTTTATTTTTGTTTTGTTGTTGTTATTTATTGTTGGTTCGGTTTTTCTTGCATGGTTGTTCTCGTCACGGAGTCTCCGTTTCTTCCTTTGCCAGGTGCGGGTGGCGGCAGCATCCTGCCCACAGCCCAAGGCCTGTGCCATGGACATAATGACACTTGGCTGCTAGGGTTTAGGGCTTAGGTAGGGCTTAGCGTTTAGGGTTCAGGCCACTTGGCTTCCAGGTAAACGATCAGAGAGCCTTCAACCCAGTCCGGCAGAGTTGCTTCCCTCAGGAGATTTTCCGCATAGAGAAACTCAAATCTGTCTTTCGGAAGCCATTCTGGTCAGACGCGAGTCTTGACAATCGCAGAGCAATTCTTCCGACTGTTTTTGAAGCAAACACTGCCAAAATCGCCGATGTGCTCCTGCTGACTGTCTGCAGAGTCGTCTTTAGAGGTGAGAGCGCTTGGCCAGGGCGAACAGCGTGGGCACAGCTAGCCGGACATCCAAACAATCTCAGCTACACTTTTGTGGCAAACCGTAGACGCCAAGCTTAAAAGCCCGGGAGACTCGCTATAGTATAGTCACATTACAGTGTATCCCAAAGCTCTATTCTAATTCGTAAGCCCCTATATTAGACGCCATATGGGAGTTTCCGAAAATTAGGGGTGCCTAATTTTGGGAGTCCTTATGATAAGGATCCTACTATTTAGGGTAGGGTCCCCCCATTTTCGGAAACTCCTATATCCCAGGAATGTCATATCGACCTTCATGTCTCCCATATCCTAAACCCCTAAACCCCTGAACCCCTAAACCCCTAACCCCTGAACCCCTAACCCCTAAACCCCTGAACCCTAAATCCCGAATGTCATATCGACCTTCATGCCTCCCATATCCTAAACCCCTAAAACCCTAAACCCCTAACCCCTAAACCCCTAACCCCTAAACCCCTGAACCCTAAATCCCGAATGTCATATCGACCTTCATGCCTCCCATATCTTAAACCCCTAAAACCCTAAACCCCTAACCCCTAAACCCCTAACCCCTAAACCCCTGAACCCTAAATCCCGAATGTCATATGGCCCTTCATGCCTCCCATATCCTAAACCCCTAAACCCCTAACCCCTAAACCCCTAACCCCTAAACCCCTGAACCCTAAATCCCGAATGTCATATCGCCCTTCATGCCTCCCATATCCTGAACCCCTAACCCCTAACCCCTAAACCCCTAACCCCTGAACCCCTGAACCCTAAATCCCGAATATCATATCGACCTTCATGCCTCCCATATCCTAAGCCCCTAAAACCCTAAACCCCTAACCCCTAAACCCCTAACCTCTAAACCCCTGAACCCTAAATCCCGAATGTCATATCGACCTTCATGCCTCCCATATCCTAAACCCCTAAAACCCTAAATCCCAGGAATGTCATATCGACCTTCATGCCTCCCATATCTTAAACCCCTAAAACCCTAAACCCCTAACCCCTAAACCCCATAACCCCTGAACCCTAAATCCCGAATGTCATATCGCCCTTCATGCCTCCCATATCCTAAACCCCTAACCCCTAAACCCCTAACCCCTAAACCCCTAACCCTAAATCCCGAATATCATATCGACCTTCATGCCTCCCATATCCTAAGCCCCTAAAACCCTAAACCCCTAACCCCTAAACCCCTAACCTCTAAACCCCTGAACCCTAAATCCCGAATGTCATATCGACCTTCATGCCTCCCATATCCTAAACCCCTAAAACCCTAAATCCCAGGAATGTCATATCGACCTTCATGTGGATCTCTCGGTTCACGGCCTTGGCCATCAGCGACTGTTCCGTAGGCGGAAGCCGGAAGGCGGGGGGAGGGGGGGTGGGGGGCAGGTCGGGTTCTCCCAGACAAAATCCGGGTTCCTTTAAAGGGATCCTTTAAGGGATGTATAAGGGATCTAGAGCGGGTTCTCTTTGGTCTGGAGATAGTGTGGGTGGGTTGGCTGCGAAATGTAGGTAGACTATGGGTATACTTTGGTATTACAGGTAGACTATATGGGTATATGTTGGGATTATAGGTCTACTATAGGTACGGAATCATGTCAAGCAGTGCGTGTGCCTCTGAGAAACGAGATGGTCTCAGGCCCTCTGTGCTGCTGATATCTCCAACATGGTTGCCGCGGTGTCGAACGGTCCTGCTGCAGGAGCCCTAGGGTTTAGGGTTTAGGGGTTTAGGGTTTAGGGTTTCTATGGTGCAATGTAGTTTAGGATCACAGGCTTGAGCCGCTTGAGCATGTGTTGACCCTTGCGTTCCCTCACGTCTGCGAAGAAGGAATGGCCACAACTTCGGACTGTGCAGATGTGACAGTGTCCGACGAGCTGGCAGATGCTGCTCGCCAGCATCTGGAACATCTCAGAGATCCCAATACCCCTTAATGAAAGAATATACCTTAAATTATACGGGGCTCAATATTCTGGTTTCAGGTAGATTCCTTAATCAAAGGGTATTGGGATCTCTGGGATTCAGCCTTCTCTACCCCGTCTCCGTGCCAAGCATTGTAGCTCCGCTTTCCGTTCTAACCCTAAGCCCTAAACCCTAAACGCTAAACCCTAATTGTTGAGCCAGGTCGTTGCGAGATCCGGCGACCCGGACCTCGTATCCGCTTTGACTCCCGAGCCAGGAGACCAGTCTGCGGGCTAGTGTATAGGGGCCTTAATTGAATATATACTATTTGAGGTTGCTTATTATGAATATAGTACAATTATAGTTATTGGGGGCCTTCATTACCTATACTATTTGGGGTTGCTTATATGAATATGTATAATTATAGTTATTAGGGGCCTTAATTGCCTATACTGTTTGGGGTTGTTCATGATTTTTATAGTATGATGGGCCCCAAAACCCTATTCTGTTTATTAAGGTCCCTATGTTAGTCCTACAAGCATCGGCCCTCAACTGGAAGTTCAGAGAGGGCTCGACGAATGTCGAGCACGCCTAAGCCTAAGAGTTTTCTAAGTGATTCGCCGACAGGCACTTGGCAAAGCTACCACAGTGCCATTTCTGCTGAGACCCGTGCTCCTGGAGCTTTCAGTCTGGGCGCACACCCCTTGTGAAAGAGACCTGCGTGCTTCTTGCTTCTGAACTGTTGCAGTTGTGAGCTTTCGGGCTTGCCTTGTCAACTCTGGCACCCACTGCACTTCTGATTCATGTGACCGCGAGGCTTGCGTCCAAAGCAATCTCTACTACTAGCTGCTTCCCAACCATGCGCATTGTCAGAACTTGACCATCGTGCCGTCAGGTCCTCATGCCAGTGATTCGGCGTGATGGGCATTGAAACTGGGGAGTAGCACTAGCTTGTCTAGGGCCACGACTTGTGGGCCAAGATGACTACATCCAGGTCTTGGTTCTTATGATCAGACCTTTCAGGGATCCCGTATCAAACAAGTCATAAGACGGGTGAGCACTGCAGGGGCTCGTGCAGTGCACAGTGCACAGCTTGGCTTCCGACCGCCAGACCAAAAGAGGGCACGCTGACTCATCTGACGGAAGTTTGTGGGTTTAGGGGTTTCGAGTTAAGGGTTTAGGGGTTTGGGGTTTAAGGTTTAGGGGTTTAGGGTTGAGTTGTCGGACGGAGAAGTGACTCGGGCCGAGAAGGATTCAGGGGAGGTCTGGGAGGTGTGTTTGATTACCGCTTGTCACTGTAATTTAGCATGAAGCTCTTCGGGGTGAGAGCAGAGCTGTGGTGTTTTCGTCTCCCAATCTTGCCCCCAACCGATCGAAAAGACTGTGTCTTGGCCCAAGATGTTTCCTAAGACAATTTTCTGCTTCTGTCCAACTCTTGGCCCACAGCCACTTCTATAGCCTTTCTTCGCAAGGCCGTGCATATTATGCTGGACTTGCACTGCCGTGGTCGGGCTTCGGGTTTCCAGCGGCATGGTGTCCGAACGCAGGTGGGGATGCCAGATGCGGATATGCAGAAATGCGAGCCCTTATCCCCCAAACCCGAATCGCCTGTAAACCGACATGTATGTATGCAGCTTGCAGGCTTTCTCCAGCTATGTAGCAAGTGCTTGTATTGATGTCTGCGTGCCTGCAAGTATGCCTATCTGTCTGGATGGATGGCTGTTTGGATGGATGTGATGGATGGATGCATGGAGGGATGTTTGTATAAACATTCCCGGGCCGAAGGCTTGAAGCTCGGGGCTTTTTTTGATACAGACACAGACTCTTCTGCAGCAGCGGAGCACCTCAAAGTCTTGTTTCCCCTACGCTGGTTAGTCGCCTTTCTTTTCAGCATCATAGAGTGCAAAATACTTCCGGAAGAGACCCCAAGGCTGACTTGTGTCAAGAATCTACAGTGAAGGAGGTGCAAGCATGCACCCTTACTCACATACTCATATCCACTTCCTCCTTAAGTGCTGCTAAGCCTGAACCCTCAATCCTAAACCCCTAGACCCCTAAGCCCTAATCCCCAAACCCCAACCCCTAACCCCTAAACCCCTATAACCCCTAAACCCCTCAAGCCCAAGTCGAGGTGCGCCAGGCCTGGCAGGATGCATATCGCCTCTTCGGGGATGCGTCTGCTCCTTGTCAACAGATCTACTCTCGGGGCCATTAATAATGGGGCCATTAATAATTAGAATAGGGTTTTGGGACCCCAAAAAACAATACTTGTAATAAGGAGCTGCCCCCCCCTCCAAAAAAAAAACAAAGCGAAATTGGTCAACAACAAGGCCCCATATAATCGTGGTATCGCGGTGCGAGAATCTGGAGGTATTTTCGCAAATATCCTTTTAACGCTGTGCTCAGCATCATGTATGTCATGCAACATGCATGTATACCTGGTTATCTACATACTTGACTACTTGATGTGCCAGCATTGTGTTTGATTTTATTTCGGTTGTAATGACGCATGTTGTGCTGCATTGTTATGTGTGAGAGGGACACTGCAGCTTGCCAGAATCGTCGAATAAACGTAGGAAGCCCTAAACCCGAAAACCTACAGCCCCCAGGTGTTCAGACTGTAGCACGGAGGAAAGGAAAAGGGCCTTTTTAAACATCTTAAACCCTAAACTACACAGAATAGGACGTGAGGGCGGTTTCGTGGGAAATACACCGCCACGGCGTCCCAGACTCAAATTATATATACTATATAAAAAGCCCTAAACCCCTTAGGCCCTTGGTTGTGTTGGGCTTTTAAAAACCGAGGTGCCAGGGCCATTGAAGTCGGTGAATTCGTTGATCAACACATGTGGCAAAGCACAGCACTGGGCCCTTGCCCTGGCTGTCCTGGGACATTTGCCTGCGTGGCGTTTGCACCCAGACATCTTTAGTTTCGGTGCCGCCATCTCTGCATGCAAGAGAGTGCAGCAATGGGGGCATGCTGTTGGCCTCCTTGTGAATTTGGAAGAGGAGGGACTGCAAGGGGATGCCATCACGCACAGCAGCGCCATGACAGCTTGCGAGAAGGCCTCTGAGTGGACAGCTGCATTGCTGCTTTTTTCAGATCTGAAGGCCAAGACTATTCAAGGGGACGCAATCACCTACAATTCCGCAATCAGTGCCTGTGAGAAGGGACTGCAGTGGCCTCAGGCACTTCAGGTCCTCGTCGAGCTTGACCGCAGCCAGCTTCAACCAACGCTGATTACTTTCACTTCTGTGATCAGTGCCTGTGAGAAGGGCGACCAGTGGCACCTGGCCTTGGATTTCTTCACTAAGCTTGAGAGCGCTCGCATGCAAGGAGATGTCATTGCCTACTCCTCCGCCATTGCGGCATGTGAGAAAGGCGGGCAATGGTCTTTAGCCTTGCAGTTCTGCTCGAAAATGTACCAAGAGCGCATCAGCTCAAACATCATCACCTTCAATTCGACCATGAGTGCACTTGGTACCGGGGGCGAGTGGCAGCGCGCTCTGGCTCTCTTTACTCAGCTCTCTGAACACAAAGTGCAGGCGGATGCAATCACGTACAATGCGGCCATGAGAGCCTGCGAGGAAGGCGGTGAATGGGCGATCGGTATGAGCTTGCTTGAGAAGCTGGAAGCTCAGCAGCTGCAAGGTACTGTGGTGACCTACAATACCGCCATTAGCTTGTGCAAGGATGCAGATCAATGGCCCATGGCACTCCATCTCCTAGGAAACTTTGTCATAGTTGGGTAGCATTTTACATGTTTATGGGCACTGAAACCCAATAAGGAATAACAACTTAAACCGAATAAGGAATAGAAACTTAAATTCTTAATACTGTCCCAACCATCTCCAGGAGAGATGACGGAGAGGGAGCTCCAGGCAGATGTGATCACCTACAGCGCAGCCATCAATGCAGCTTGCCCAAACGCTTTTCTTACCTTTGGTTAGTAAGGAATGGAAGAATGGTAGTAATAGTAATAATAGTAGTTATAATTGTACCCCATTCCTCCATTCTCTAGTAACCAAAGGTAAGTTTTCCTCGCTTCGAGGGGAGATGCCCGGGTGTGGGGCTTCGGGGTTTCGCGCGACTTCGTAATGCAGAGTTTGGGGTTCAGAGTTGCTGTCAGCAGGCAACCGTGTGGTCTGTGCTCAGGCCTGTGAAAAAGGCCACGAGTGGCAGATGGCTCTTGCGTTGCTGGCTGAGATCCCGCACAGAAGCATCCAGGGCAACGTGATCACCTACAGCTCTGCCCCTCGGCTGTGGCTTTCAGAAGGGCCAAAAGCCAAGGTGAAGAGCAATTCTAAGGAAGCGCTAGAAGCTAGGCACCAGAGCTGCTTTCATGAGCCCTAAACCCCCGAACTCTAAGTCCTCCCCTCCCTCCGCGGAAGGCCATGAGTGCCTGTGAGAAGGGTGGCGAGTGGACCTGGGCTCTGCACCTGCTCAGCGACTTCTACAGTTCAGGCTTGGAGGCCAACGCCCCTTTGCGCTGAAAATAGAATTTGAGGCTCACCGCTCGGCCTGAAATCTGACCCTCAAACCCTAATTACCCTAGAGTCCTAAACTCCAAGGCAGACTGAGAGTCGTGGGTTTCGTTTCATGGCGATGAAGACTGAAGTCCCGCCATCTGTCGGGGCTTGTCTGAGGTGATCACCTACAACGTGGTCCTCTTCGCCTGCGCCAAGGGTGAGCAGTGGCAGCAAGCTCTGTATTTCCTGTCGGAGTTGACATCGGCTGGCTTGCAAAGCACGGTGCTCACCTTCAATGCTGCGATGGCGGCATGCACGAGTCATGGCTTTTGGCAGCAAGCTTTAAGCTTGTTGTCTTCCTTGCTGCACAGGGGCATGCAGGGAGATGTAATCACCTTCAGTACCGCGCTCAATGCATGCGCATCGGGGCAGCAGCGGCGACGGGCTGTCCCTCTGATGGCAGAACTTCAGGACAGAGCATGGAAGGCAGGCTGTGAAGTGGCAAAAAGCTTGCAAGCTTCGCTTTGTCATTTGCTGCGTCACGAAGCAATGTCGTGGTAGGCTGGCACGACAGTGTCAAGGAATGCCACATTCGGTGAAAGTGAAACGTCTCATTTTGCTGATGGCTGGATTGGCTCACAGCGCCACACGTTCTAGCAGCCCCAGCGGTTCTTGGGGTGCAGCACTTTGTGCTTGGCGTTCCACGTTCTTATTCAGGCAAGGTGGACCCGTATGTGCGGCAGAAGATATCACAATGTGCAGATACGTCGAGCTTGATGCCAATGCAATACAACTGCAGACTTGTGCAGTTTGTGTCAGTGGCGTAGTTCAGGTGTCGGCCGTTTCTTACAGGTGCCAACTCGACTGATTAAAGACTGATTACGTGCTCTTCCTGCGCAGGTCTTCCATATGAAATACGGGACATTCAAGGAGAGGGAGAGGAGCGCGTCAGAAGTTGATCGATACCTGTCTGCACTTATTCATACTTGGTTAGTTATTGGTACGTATGAAAGAGGCATTTAAAAGAGTTTTCGCTGCACGCAGCGGCAGAGGATACTGTAGGACGTGCGTTTAACACGTGGACTTGCACGGTATCTTCGAGCGACGGCAGTCGTTCAGCTTCGCACGGACCGGGGATAAAAGTCATTCTAGGGCTGTCGGGTGTGACCTCGTCGATCTGACGCATCTTTCCGCACCACTGGTACGACAGTTTGGATTGGTAGTGACATCAATCGTAAGAATGCCCATGAAGCAAGCCAAGAATCTCCTTGCAGACCGTGGTGTTAGTAAGGCTAGCGTGCTCTGCCTTTTCTCCACGGTCTAGATTCAGGCCAAACAGGAAACATATGAAACATTGCCATCGAGCGAGAGTAAGTGGAATAGCGGCAGAGGCACACAAACCACGAGCCAGGGGCTGCAAGGCCACAAACTTGCGGGAGGAAGGTTGTTGAGAGGCGCCAACACTTCTGCAGTTCTGCTTCTTCGACGCAGTGATCCTCCCTCATTGGCTCTTGCATGTTCTGGAAGAGGGTCGGGTAACTGCAAATAGTTCAAGAGGTGCATCGTAGAGAGCGGCTTCAGCTTAGGATACCGCCGAAGGGAAGCCGGCGATGAGGACGAATTCCCGTGGCTCATGATGATTCTCTTCTTATTGACGCTCGGTCACTGGGCCAATGACAGTGGGTAGAAGAGCTAGGTGCGCCTGTATCAGGTCTGGGAGGATCTTACGTCTGAAAGTATTTGAGAGTATTTCAGGGGCCAACTAGGTCAACGTAGGTAGCAACGCCCGTCTGATAGTGTCTGAATACATCTCGAGAGGTCTCTTGTAGCTGGAGCCCATATGCTGCTTCATGAACCACTACATACCACTGCACTGTGTACTGCAGCGAAAGCACTTCGACTTGCTGACCTCTGCCCAGGTGCTTATGCCTTCGTGATGTACGGCTGCTGGGACACCTCCCAGCGCATTGAGGTGCTTGCCACAAGGTCAGCTGGCAAAGGGCCTGCATCATCAGCTAGCACTACGTGACATTTCTCACCTACTGTGCAGGTCAGAGAACGCACTCATGGTCACGGCGACCGTCAGCGATGCGATGGGAGGTAGGTGGTTTTCGAGTGCATTTTCTTCGCGTACTCTCTTTGTGCGTCGAAACCCTGGGCGCCGGGACTCACCCAGCTTGCTCCACTGATTTTCAAAAGAGCCTTGTATTGCAGCCGCTTGTAGCCTGGAGGCTTGGTGACCAGCACAGCGCACCAAGGCGAGGAGGCGCGGCATCTGCAGCTCTATGTGTGACATGTGGGTTTCTCCCGGCTGGCCCAAGAGTCAGAATGCATCTCTTGAATTTATGAAGTGCAGCAGAGTTGAGATGTTGAGGAAGTTACCGGCAGACCAGGCTGACAGACAGTTGGAAGGCCAACGATTAACAACAGGTCTCCCCACATTGATCTATTGACGAAATCAGGTTTTTCCGATGATGCGAAGATTTTGTACGGCTTCAGTTTCGTTTGATCACTTCTTGGAGACATGAGGCCATCTATGCCGGGCTGGACCAAATTCTCAACGAGTCCGAGAATGCTTTGCTTGAGGCCGTCGCCTCCGCAGCAGATTCGTTGAGTTCTGAAGTCAGGATCAGAAGGAATCAAGCCAGGGAGCTAGAACTCGGTACGAGTGCCAACCTGCAACCACGACAGCAACAACAGTAACAACTGCTACACTGCCAGCGGCACGACAAGCGAGCCGGTGGCTACGAGTATCAGGACTCGCATGACTATCCTCGCTACTGAAACACTTTTCACTCAGTTAGTGTAAGCACTACCATGGCGACCACCGCGACAATGAAGAACCGCTAGAACCGCCTGCAGGTACTTAGCATGTCCTGTGTTCAGTTTCTTTCGGGTTTACCGGGGCATTCGCAAGACGCTATGGCATGCGTGCTGTCTTGAGCCTTTAATTAAGTGGGGGCCTCTGCTTGGATGGACATGCTACTTCCGGCGAAGCGTCTTGGCCCAGAGGCTTCTGTGAAGCCGCTTTGCCCCTTGACATTTCGTCCTTCATCCACCATAGTCCGCCATGGAATCCTTGGCGGATGCTTTCTCGTGGCTGACGACTTCATGCCCCTGCCTGAGACGTCGGCTGTCAAGCACAATCGTGAGACTGGTCAGATGTCATGCTGCTGAGCTGCTGCTGCGAGGGCTCTGCGACGTGACACAGCCGGAAGGCCTCGGATGAAGAGTACACCTTGCAGCTTGCAGATGGACAAGCGTTGCTTCGCACGGCGGTTTAGATTTGATGCGCCGTGCTTGCATCAGGCTACGCTCGCGAGCCCGAGTTTGCCTGGCACCTGGTCGGAGCGCATACAAAGCACTGGTAGGAACAATGCAAAGACAACCAATAGTAACAAGAACAAGTTTAAGAACAACCGTGACAATACCGTTGGCGATAACAATAAAGATAATTAGCAATAGCAGTAACAACAAAGAAGCCAATGACAATGGCAATACGGTTTTCGCATCCATTCCCTCAATTGAGGTCGTTCAGAGCATCCCAATGCCCACGGAGCCGCCCGACGGCACTTGATGCGCAGATACAGGGAGTTTCCGAAAACTAGGGGTTCCTTTTGGGTATAATGGAAAAAGCTGAGATTCTAGGGTATACATGTTATAATAAGGGAAACTCTAGCGTCCTAGAAAAACTGCACAAGTCACTAATCCCTTGTGTTAAGTGCTACTGTAAGGGGAAAGATGCCAAACATGGACCAGTACCTGACATGACTGCTTTTGATTGCAGGCTGGTCAGCGTCCCTAGATTAATCGTAAACCCTAAGCACCGTACCCTGCGCTCAAAACCCAAGGCCCTAAGCCCTGAAAAAAAAAAACCCGACTCCCTGTATAGTTATAGCATGTCGAATTGGAGAGTGTGGCGCAAGACACTGGCCACAACCGGCAAAAACGCGATTCCATCCCAGAGCCAGGGTGATGGCGCAGCTGTCTCCATTCCTCTCCGCCCCTGGATCGGCACAGCAAAAAGGGGGAGGGCGGAAGGTTAAGGATTTAGGGCTTGGGGTTGCTTTAGGATTTAGGGTTTAGGGTAGAAGGTCACAGATTCCTGGTTCCCTGTACGGTGGATTTCTTCTCATCCGAAGCCGCTTGTATGGCCTTGCCAGAAGGAGACCCTGATGTCATATGTGGAACTAGCGGGCTTGTGTTTTTCACATTCGTTCACAATGGAGCCTCGACCGTCTAAGCCCTCGACCCCTTAAGCCTTAACCCACGAACCCTCCCTTCGCTAATTCCCGAACCCTCCCCTCCACCAAGCCCCGCAACCTCCAAACTTAAGGCCAAGCCAACCTCAGATCCTTGAAGCAGCCCAATAACATAGCGGCCTTAGTCATTATCAAAAATGATTATAGTACATACTGGGCCCCAAACCCCTATTCTGATTATTAAGGCCCATATTTTAGGCGTTTCCAGAGCAGCAAGGGGTCGAGCGTAGGGGCTTTCGGGGGTAAGCGTTGAGGGTATGGGCGGGGTTCCCGGTTTGGGGTTTTAAGTCTCAGGATTCATCTGATGTCTGGGGGTCTGGGGGTGTAATGTAGGAACCTGATTAAGAAACCTTGGGTCTTTGTCAGGGCTCCTTATATGAATCCTAATATATTGGGGCTATAGGGCCAGGGTTTCTTAATCAGGTTCCTAAATTAGGCTTTAGGATCAGGGTGCACGGTCTCGGGTGTAAAACACTGGGCCCTGGCGAGGTCCAAAACCTGGCGCCGTTGCGAGCCACCTGCCGTCAGCCGGCGAGTGCTGGGGAAGAGGCCTCCCGGCTGAAGTCTTCCTTAAATATCAGACCTTACTATAGGGGCCGTAACAACTACCATTACTGTATTATTCCTCCTTATTATACTGATGGTAAAATGGGCAACAAAACCCTATTTTGATTATTAAGGCCCCTCGATTACACTCCCAAACAGCTGAGGGTTTGTTGTTTAGAGTTTGGGGCTTTCAGTTTACGATTTCCTCGCAGTGTTGCAACATCATGTGGTTCTGACATAGAGTAAAGACAATCTTTTGTGGGCGGCGCGTTCCAGAAAACGTGGGTGCTGCAGTTGCTGTTTGTGCCTGTGCACAGAGGATTTGGGCGGCACGCGGCTCCCGATTGTAACTTAGAATACATGGACCATGAGCCACGAAAGCCTTTGGATCACGGCAGTACCTGACGGAAAGAAGTTTGGGCACCACCCTGGCCACGCTCCCGAATCCTTCTGAATCCCACCAGTGTTTGGGGAAAAGCATTGTAGCAGTGACCCTGGATCCACCAGTTGTGGGAAGGCACTTCTTGCCGTGTCCTGGTGGTGTTCTACAGGTCTTGTGGGGTATCCTAGTGGTCTCCTGGTGGTCTCCTCGCGGTAGTCATGGTCGTGATCGTCGTCGTGGTGCTCTTTCACGGTTTGGGATCCGTGATGGCATGTTTCTTTGCGGGGAAGTCTTTCTGCGGGGGTTAAGGGTTTATGTAGGGCTTGTGATGTTCCCAGGAGTCCTTGCGAGGACTCACGGAAGGATTTTTCATTTTCGAGGGGCTGGAAAACCCTAACACCCTGCAGAAGAAGCCTCTCTGCTCGGCACGGCTTTGCGTCCCCTGAACCCTAAATCTTAAGCCCTATAGAAGGCTTTCCAGCAGCTTCTGAAGCTGCCCGAGAAGAGGCGGGGCTCCCTAATTCCTAAACTCCGGACCCTAACGCCCTAAACTCCAAAAACTCTTGCACCCGAAACGCCAAGGCCCCAGGCCACTAACCCTTCACCCCAAAAGCCCCTAAAAGCCCCCAAGATGCCTGGAGGCGCCACCAGATCCAACGGGTGGATGTGGAGAGATCAGCAGAGCAGTGGGCGGAGCTCACGAAAGGAAAACAAGATCATAAATGGCATATTGCCAGCAAGCGTCGTTTCATGTGCGATATTTCCGGCGAGTGGGTGCTCTACACCCCGACGGGGTCGATGTTTGACGGCCTGAAGGAGTACCTGCTCCTCACCCGATTCCTACCTGCGGAGCCCCTGCCCTCGAAGACCGAGGACATCCTGTTTGGCAAATCTTCCAAGTGACCAGCCTGCGGCTTTTGAATCCGCTTAGCAGTCAAGCCGGCACAGCCGCAGAGAAAGAATCGCATCGAAGTCCTCGAGGCCACATGGCTCGAGGCCCCAATGCAAGACCATGCAAGCTTGAAGCATGGGAGTGAGTGTAGGCAGCAGCAGAATCCGTGTGATTTAGTGCTGGTGTCATGCACCGCCTTGAAGTGGGGCGTAAAGTAGCGGTTGAAATTCTGGCATGTTGCAAGCATGCAGCTCGGTGCACACCACTCGAAGACCCCAGTGCTTGGGCAATGACCCGGCAGACACATCGACGGACGCTGAATCACAGGACTTGACCCTGTTAGCAGGCGCACCGCAGCCTTTCACAGGACCCGCACCTGCATTTCGCATAGGCCGTGGGAGCCTAGATCAGATCGGGTTCGGGACTATCATGTTCAGGGGTAAGGGTGCCAGACTTAGGGTTCAGGATTTAGGGCCCGTTATGATTACAGGTCAGGGTTTAGGGCCTTTTCGGGCCCAAAACGGCATGCCTATGTTGCAGGTGCCTTTGTGACAACAAGCATACGGCATGGAGTATGCGGATCGTTCTCCAGATATTCACTGCATTTGGGACTCAAGACCTCTCAGGGAGAATGGGCCCTGTATACCCCTATGTTTGACCTCAAGGAGTATCTACTCCGTAGGAGAATCTTCGTTTGCGGAGGTGCCCTCGAAGACCGAGGACATCTTATAACTTATCTAGGCGCAAGTCTTGCAAGTCTTCCACGTGACCAGTGGGCGGCTTTTGAATCTGCCTGGTCTGGCACAAACTGTCAGATTGCGCAGAGAAATCATCGAAGTCCTGCGGCCTCGAGGCAACAAAGGAAGCTCATGCAAGAATTGAAGCATGGGAGATGACGCCGCAACAGCACACGCGGCGTTACGAACTGGCTGGATGTAGTGAGGGTGTCATGCACCGTGTAGAAGTGGGGCGTGAACTTAGAAGTTACCATTTTGGCATGTTGTAAGCTTGCAGCTCGGTGCACAATGACCCGACGGACACATCGACGGACGGTGAATCACAGGACTGTCGCAGGACCCTTCTCGCAGAGCCAAAAAGCCTCGCAGCCTTTCACGGGAGCCACACCAGCAGTTCCAGAGGAGCCTAGTTTACAGTGGGTGCAAGATTAATGGTTAGGGGTTAGGGTGCAGGGTTTAGTTTTCAGGATGTAGGATTTCCGGTAGGGTTTCGGGTGTAATCAATATCCTCGCACTGCTGTTCTTGCAGTCTGCAGCCTTTGCAGCTGCTTCGGGTACTCCGCAAACCCTAAACCCTAAACCCCGAAACCCCGAAACCCTAAACCCCTTCATCCCAACGAGTGCCCTCCTGCAACTACGGGTTTAAAATTTTGTACCACGCTATGGCATGCGTGTTGTCTTGAGCCTTTAAGTGGGGGCCTCTGCTTGGATGGACACGCTACTTCGGGCGAAGCGTCTTGGCCCAGAGGCTTCTGTGAAGCCGCTTTGCCCCTTGACATTTCGTCCTTCATCCACCATAGTCCGCCATGGAATCCTTGGCGGATGCTTTCTCGTGGCTGACGACTTCATGCCCCTGCCTGAGACGTCAGCTGTCAAGCACAATCGTGAGACTGGTGAGATGTCATGCTGCTGAGCTGCTGCTGCGAGGGCTCTGCGACGTGACACAGCCGGAAAGCCTTGGATGAAGAGTACACCTTGCAGCTTGCAGATGGACAAACAAGCGTTGCTTCGCACGGCGGTTTAGATTTGATGCGCCGTGCTTGCATCAGGCTACGCTCGCGAGCCCGAGTTTGCCTGGCACCTGGTCGGAGCGCGTACAACGCACTAGTAGGAAAAATACAAATACAACCAATAGTAATAACAATAAGAGCTCCCATAACAATACCATTAGCAATAACAATAAAGACAATATAGCAACAACAACAACAATAAAAATAACAGAATATCATACCATTTAAGATTACAATAGGGTTTTCGCATGCTTTTCCCCTCGACGGAGGTCGTCCAGAGCATCCCACTGCCCACAGAGTCGCCCGACGGCACTTGATGCAGATACAGGGAGTTTTCCGAAAAGTAGGGGGTTCCTTGAAAGGGATCCTTTTAAGGGTTCTTTAAAGGGATCTATGAATCTATAAAGGGTTTAGGGTTTAGAGTTTCCGAGAATGAGGGGTACCTTATTTTGGGGCCCTTATAATAAGGATCCTAGCCTTAGGGTACTAGAGTAGGGTCCCCCTTTCGATGCAAATACAGACCTTGGGTGAGGCCTCTTACAGTGGCAGTCCCTTCACAAGGACATTCCAGGGTATATGCATACTAAGGAAAGTAAAGGGTATAATGGACAAATCGGAAATTCTAGGGTATATGTATAGTCAGGGAAATCCTAGGGTCCTAAAACATCGGCACTAATCACTAATCCCTTGTGGTAAGTGCTACTGTATGTTGGAAAATGCCAAGCATGAACATGACCTGCTTTCGACTTAAATCGTAAACCCTGGGCCCTGAGCCCTCACCGGTAAACCCCGACTCCATCCCAGAGCCAGGGTGATGGCGCAGCTGTCTCCGTTCCTCTCCGCCCCTGGATCGGCACAGCACATGGGGGGTTTCGGGTTAAGGTTTGGGATTTAGGGCCTAGGGTTTGTTTAGGATTTATGGTTATTCGGGTAGCAGGTCAAAGATTCCAGGTTCCCTGTACGGAACGCGAAACGTGGATTGTAAGGAGACCCTGATGTCATAATATGTGGAACTACAGGGCTTGTGTTTTCCACATTCGCTTACAGTGGAGCCTCCACTAAGCCCTCGACCCTTAAGCCAAAACCCACGAACCCTTCCTTCGCGGTCCCTGGTTTGGGGTTTTAAGTCTCAGGACTCATCTGATGTCCGGGGGTCGGAGGTGTAGAGTGTAGGGTCAGGGTGCACGGTTTCGGGTGTAAAACACTGGGCCTTGACGAGGTGCAAAACCTGGCGCCATTGCGAGCCACCTGCCGTCAGCCGGCGAGTGCTGGGGAAGAGGCCTCCTGGTTGAAGTGTTCCTTGAGAATTAGACCCTACTATAGGGGCCTTAACAACTACCAATACTGTAAATACTGTACTATTTTGGGGGCTCCTTATTACAATCATAGTATTTTGGGCCCCCAAACCCTATTCACCTATTCTAATTATTAAGGCCCTTCGATTACTCTCCCAAACAGCTCAGGGTTTGTTGTTTAGAGTTTGGGGCTTGGAGTTTACCTGGCTCAGGTTTCCTCGCAGTGTGGCAACATCATGTGGTTCTAACATAGAGTAAAGAGAATCTTTTGTGGGGTGGCGCGATTGTAACTTAGAATACACGGACCATTGGCCCCGAAAACCTTTGGATCGCAGCAGTACCTGGCGGAAAGGAGTTTGGGCACCACCCTGGCCAAGCTCCCGGATCCTCCTGAATCCCACCAGTGTTTGGGGAAAAGCATTGTAGCAGTGATCCTGGATCCACCACTTGCGGGAAGGCACTTCTTGCCGTGTCCTGGTGGTGTTCTACAGGTCTTGTGGGGTATCCTAGTGGTCTGCTTGCGGTCTCCTGGTGGTCTCCTCGCGGTAGTCATGGTCGTGATCGTCGTCGTGGTGCTCTTTCACGGTTTGGGATCCGTGATGGCATGTTTCTTTGCGGGGAAGTCTTTCTGCAGGGGTTAAGGATTTATGTAGGGCTTGTGATGTTCCCAGGAGTCCTTGCGAGGACTCATGGAAGGATTGTTCATTTTCGAGGGGCTGGAAAACCCTAACACCCAGCAGAAGAAGCCTCTCTGCTCGGCACGGCTTTGCGTCCCCTGAACCCTAAATCTTAAACCCTAAATCGGGAGGCTTTCCAGCAGCTTCTGAAGCTGCCCGAGAAGAGGCGGGGCTCCCTAATTCCTAAACTCCGGACCCTAACGCCCTAAACTCCAAAAACTCTTGCACCCGAAACGCCAAGGCCCCAGGCCACTAACCCTTCACCCCAAAAGCCCCTAAAAGCTCCCAAGATGCCTGGAGGCGCCACCAGATCCAACGGGTGGATGTGGAGAGATCAGCAGAGCAGTGGGCGGAGCTCACGAAAGGAAAACAAGATCATAAATGGCATATTGCCAGCAAGCGTCGTTTCATGTGCGATATTTCCGGCGAGTGGGTGCTCTACACCCCGACGGGGTCAATGTTTGATGGCCTGAAGGAGTACCTGCTCCTCACCCGATTCCTACCTGCGGAGCCCCTGCCCTCGAAGACCGAGGACATCCTGTTTGGCAAATCTTCCAAGTGACCAGCCTGCGGCTTTTGAATCCGCTTAGCAGTCAAGCCGGCACAGCCGCAGAGAAAGAATCGCATCGAAGTCCTCGAGGCCACATGGCTCGAGGCCCCAATGCAAGACCATGCAAGCTTTGAAGCATGGGAGTGACTGTAGGCAGCAGCAGAATCCGTGTGATTTAGTGCTGGTGTCATGCACCGCCTTGAAGTGGGGCGTAAAGTAGCGGTTGAAATTCTGCCATGTTGCAAGCATGCAGCTCGGTGCACACCACTCGAAGACCCCAGTGCTTGGGCAATGACCCGGCAGACACATCGACGGACGCTGAATCACAGGACTTGACCCTGTTAGCAGGCGCACCGCAGCCTTTCACAGGACCCGCACCTGCATCTCGCATAGGCCGTGGGAGCCTAGATCAGAGCGGGTTCGGGACTATCATGTTCCGGGGTAAGGGTGCAAGACTTATAGGGTTCAGGATTTAGGGCCCGTTATGATTACAGGTCAGGGTTTAGGGCCTTTTCGGGCCCATAACGGCATGCCTATGTTGCAGGTGCCTTTGTGACAACAAGCATACGGCATGGAGTATGCGGATCGTTCTCCAGATATTCACTACATTTGGGACTCAAGACCTCTCAGGGAGAATGGGCCCTGTATACCCCTATGTTTGACCTCAAGGAGTATCTACTCCTTAGGAGAATCTTCGTTTGCGGAGGTGCCCTCGAAGACCGAGGACATCTTATAACTTTTCTAGGCGCAAGTCTTGCAAGTCTTCCACGTGACCAGTGGGCGGCTTTTGAATCTGCCTGGTCTGGCACAAACTGTCAGATTGCGCAGAGAAATCATCGAAGTCCTCGAGGCCGCATGGCTCGAGGCAACAAAGGAAGCTCATGCAAGAATTGAAGCATGGGAGATGACGCCGCAACAGCACACGCGGCGTTACGAACTGGCTGGATGTAGTGAGGGTGTCATGCACCGTGTAGAAGTGGGGCGTGAACTTAGAAGTTACCATTTTGGCATGTTGTAAGCTTGCAGCTCGGTGCACAATGACCCGACGGACACATCGACGGACGGTGAATCACAGGACTGTCGCAGGACCCTTCTCGCAGAGCCAAAAAGCCTCGCAGCCTTTCACGGGAGCCACACCAGCAGTTCCAGAGGAGCCTAGTTTACAGTGGGTGCAAGATTAATGGTTAGGGGTTAGGGTGCAGGGTTTAGTTTTCAGGATGTAGGATTTCCGGTAGGGTTTCGGGTGTAATCAATATCCTCGCACTGCTGTTCTTGCAGTCTGCAGCCTTTGCAGCTGTTTCGGGTACTCCGCAAACCCTAAACCCTAAACCCCGAAACCCCGAAACCCTAAACCCCTTCATCCCAACGAGTGCCCTCCTGCAACTACGGGTTTAAAATTTTGTACCACGCTATGGCATGCGTGTTGTCTTGAGCCTTTAAGTGGGGGCCTCTGCTTGGATGGACACGCTACTTCGGGCGAAGCGTCTTGGCCCAGAGGCTTCTGTGAAGCCGCTTTGCCCCTTGACATTTCGTCCTTCATCCACCATAGTCCGCCATGGAATCCTTGGCGGATGCTTTCTCGTGGCTGACGACTTCATGCCCCTGCCTGAGACGTCAGCTGTCAAGCACAATCGTGAGACTGGTGAGATGTCATGCTGCTGAGCTGCTGCTGCGAGGGCTCTGCGACGTGACACAGCCGGAAAGCCTTGGATGAAGAGTACACCTTGCAGCTTGCAGATGGACAAACAAGCGTTGCTTCGCACGGCGGTTTAGATTTGATGCGCCGTGCTTGCATCAGGCTACGCTCGCGAGCCCGAGTTTGCCTGGCACCTGGTCGGAGCGCGTACAACGCACTAGTAGGAAAAATACAAATACAACCAATAGTAATAACAATAAGAGCTCCCATAACAATACCATTAGCAATAACAATAAAGACAATATAGCAACAACAACAACAACAATAAAAATAACAGAATATCATACCATTTAAGATTACAATAGGGTTTTCGCATGCTTTTCCCCTCGACGGAGGTCGTCCAGAGCATCCCACTGCCCACAGAGTCGCCCGACGGCACTTGATGCAGATACAGGGAGTTTTCCGAAAAGTAGTGGGTTCCTTGAAAGGGATCCTTTTAAGGGTTCTTTAAAGGGATCTACGAATCTATAAAGGGTTTAGGGTTTAGAGTTTCCGAGAATGAGGGGTACCTTATTTTGGGGCCCTTATAATAAGGATCCTAGCCTTAGGGTACTAGAGTAGGGTCCCCCTTTCGATGCAAATACAGACCTTGGGTGAGGCCTCTTACAGTGGCAGTCCCTTCACAAGGACATTCCAGGGTATATGCATACTAAGGAAAGTAAAGGGTATAATGGACAAATCGGAAATTCTAGGGTATATGTATAGTCAGGGAAATCCTAGGGTCCTAAAACATCGGCACTAATCACTAATCCCTTGTGGTAAGTGCTACTGTAAGTTGGAAAATGCCAAGCATGAACATGACCTGCTTTCGACTTAAATCGTAAACCCTGGGCCCTGAGCCCTCACCGGTAAACCCCGACTCCATCCCAGAGCCAGGGTGATGGCGCAGCTGTCTCCGTTCCTCTCCGCCCCTGGATCGGCACAGCACATGGGGGGTTTCGGGTTAAGGTTTGGGATTTAGGGCCTAGGGTTTGTTTAGGATTTATGGTTATTCGGGTAGCAGGTCAAAGATTCCAGGTTCCCTGTACGGAACGCGAAACGTGGATTGTAAGGAGACCCTGATGTCATAATATGTGGAACTACAGGGCTTGTGTTTTCCACATTCGCTCACAGTGGAGCCTCCACTAAGCCCTCGACCCTTAAGCCAAAACCCACGAACCCTTCCTTCGCGGTCCCTGGTTTGGGGTTTTAAGTCTCAGGACTCATCTGATGTCCGGGGGTCGGAGGTGTAGAGTGTAGGGTCAGGGTGCACGGTTTCGGGTGTAAAACACTGGGCCTTGACGAGGTGCAAAACCTGGCGCCATTGCGAGCCACCTGCCGTCAGCCGGCGAGTGCTGGGGAAGAGGCCTCCTGGTTGAAGTGTTCCTTGAGAATTAGACCCTACTATAGGGGCCTTAACAACTACCAATACTGTAAATACTGTACTATTTTGGGGGCTCCTTATTACAATCATAGTATTTTGGGCCCCCAAACCCTATTCACCTATTCTAATTATTAAGGCCCTTCGATTACTCTCCCAAACAGCTCAGGGTTTGTTGTTTAGAGTTTGAGGCTTGGAGTTTACCTGGCTCAGGTTTCCTCGCAGTCTGGCAACATCATGTGCTTCTAACATAGAGTAAAGAGAATCTTTTGTGGGGTGGCGCGATTGTAACTATACATGGACCATTGGCCCCGAAAACCTTTGGATCGCAGCAGTACCTGGCGGAAAGGAGTTTGGGCACCACCCTCGCCACGCTCCCTAATCCTTCTGAATCCCACCAGTGTTTGGGGAAAAGCATTGTAGCAGTGACCCTGGATCCACCAGTTGTGGGAAGGCACTTCTTGCCGTGTCCTGGTGGTGTTCTACAGGTCTTGTGGGGTATCCTAGTGGTCTGCTTGCGGTCTCCTGGTGGTCTCCTCGCGGTAGTCATGGTCGTGATCGTCGTCGTGGTGCTCTTTCACGGTTTGGGATCCGTGATGGCATGTTTCTTTGCGGGGAAGTCTTTCTGCGGGGGTTAAGGGTTTATGTAGGGCTTGTGATGTTCCCAGGAGTCCTTGCGAGGACTCACGGAAGGATTTTTCATTTTCGAGGGGCTGGAAAACCCTAACACCCTGCAGAAGAAGCCTCTCTGCTCGGCACGGCTTTGCGTCCCCTGAACCCTAAATCTTAAACCCTAAATCGGGAGGCTTTCCAGCAGCTTCTGAAGCTGCCCGAGAAGAGGCGGGGCTCCCTAATTCCTAAACTCCGGACCCTAACGCCCTAAACTCCAAAAACTCTTGCACCCGAAACGCCAAGACCCCAGGCCACTAACCCTTCACCCCAAAAGCCCCTAAAAGCCCCCAAGAATCCTGGAGGCGCCACCAGATCCAACGGGTGGATGTGGAGAGATCAGCAGAGCAGTGGGCGGAGCTCACGAAAGGAAAACAAGATCATAAATGGCATATTGCCAGCAAGCGTCGTTTCATGTGCGATATTTCCGGCGAGTGGGTGCTCTACACCCCGACGGGGTCGATGTTTGACGGCCTGAAGGAGTACCTGCTCCTCACCCGATTCCTACCTGCGGAGCCCCTGCCCTCGAAGACCGAGGACATCCTGTTTGGCAAATCTTCCAAGTGACCAGCCTGCGGCTTTTGAATCCGCTTAGCAGTCAAGCCGGCACAGCCGCAGAGAAAGAATCGCATCGAAGTCCTCGAGGCCACATGGCTCGAGGCCCCAATGCAAGACCATGCAAGCTTGAAGCATGGGAGTGAGTGTAGGCAGCAGCAGAATCCGTGTGATTTAGTGCTGGTGTCATGCACCGCCTTGAAGTGGGGCGTAAAGTAGCGGTTGAAATTCTGGCATGTTGCAAGCATGCAGCTCGGTGCACACCACTCGAAGACCCCAGTGCTTGGGCAATGACCCGGCAGACACATCGACGGACGCTGAATCACAGGACTTGACCCTGTTAGCAGGCGCACCGCAGCCTTTCACAGGACCCGCACCTGCATTTCGCATAGGCCGTGGGAGCCTAGATCAGAGCGGGTTCGGGGCTATCATGTTCAGGGGTAAGGGTGCAAGACTTATAGGGTTCAGGATTTAGGGCCCGTTATGATTACAGGTCAGGGTTTAGGGCCTTTTCGGGCCCAAAACGGCATGCCTATGTTGCAGGTGCCTTTGTGACAACAAGCATACGGCATGGAGTATGCGGATCGTTCTCCAGATATTCACTGCATTTGGGACTCAAGACCTCTCAGGGAGAATGGGCCCTGTATACCCCTATGTTTGACCTCAAGGAGTATCTACTCCTTAGGAGAATCATCGTTTGCGGAGGTGCCCTCGAAGACAGAGGACATCTTA